ACAGTACCATCGGTAGCGGCTAATTTCGCTCAAGAGAAAAATTCATGGAAACCTACAAGATCAGAATTTATTGAGGATATACAAAAAAGTTGCATAGAATATGGGCACGGTGGATTATGGAATACTAAATACGAGTATGATGATGTTATCTCCGTCGATATGCCTGCATGTTATCCTGGGAGTTTTCTTGGATGTGGAGAATGTTCTAAATATTTTAACAGATTAGGACACCCTACACATGACATGACCAGAGTTTCGATAAATGGACCCTTACCAGATTTTGACCTAACAGGATTTGCATATGTAGAATCATTTGAGTTTGAAAAAGATCTCCATTCGATTATTTATGCTTGGTTTGGAAGACATTTTCAGAAAAATGTTGGACTCCAATAGTATTATTAAGATATATGATTGATGCTGGAATTTTAGTATCGTTTAGGGTTAATGAAGCGATTATATCCTATAGTACACAAAAGCAAGTTTGGTTACCAGAACCGGACAGATTTAATATTGATGATGCCAGAAAAGAATTTTCCTGATCTTGCCGAAGATGACATGATTAAAATTACTAATAATATACGTAAATACAGGAATGAGCACAATGAGAAGCGCGCAAAAGATCTTGGTAGAAAGATAATCGGCAAGTTTACTCAAGGCAGTTCATACGGTCATGAACGGCACTGCGTAAGATTGATTATGGACGATGAAGAATTAGATTTTATAATAATACAACAGAGAAAAACACATTTATAAGCCGAAGTAATGCTTATTTATCGGATGGGACCAAACTAGGTACCATTGTGAGCTATATTGAGGGCGACTCACCACAGTTTACTCATTTAAGATCTTCGATGCTACCCTATGTTTCTATAAATTTACTGTCTATGATAAATAAATTTCCTCGTTACGCTGTTAGAGTTGCTACGGATTCATTTTATATAAACAATAAATATAAGGATTTATTAAATCCGCTACTTGGTAATGGTGAGTGGGGAACATAAAGGATAAAGCAAGAAAATATACTAAGTTATTCTGAATTTGCTGACGTTGAAATTATGAAAATATATTACAAAAAAAATTATCCAATATCAAAGTCATCTGCACCATCTGTGTATAATCCTGTGGTTAGACGTAAGACTGTTTATCTTAATGGATGTGGAGGGTCAGGTAAAACAACTCTTGTGATTAAATTATTTATAAACAACAATTCAGATATGATTGTTTTAACACCTGCACATAAACTTGCATGAGAGATAAAATAACGAGGGGTAAAAACATGTACATATCATAGTTTCTTTAGATGGTGTGGAGATACGTGGACTCCTGAGCGAATGGGTGAAAAATATATACCTAAGTATATAAAATGCGACGAGATATGTACGGTGTCGTTAGAAACACTAAAAACATTCCTTGAATGGTTATTAACAAAAAACACGGCTGTAATTATGTTTGGTGATCATGGTTAACCACCACTTTTGTTGGACAGTCTCCACATGAATGGCTAAAGAATAACGTTGATTATTATGAAGAAATATATGATAATCATGGAGCTATTGATGAACCGCTGAAAGAACTTAAAAGATTAATCAGACTACAGGCAGATAAAATACAATGTGAAATAATGCGTGATATAATTCCAGAAACTACCATGAATGGTTTTTGGACTTTATGGAGACCTACTGATTTGATAGTCGCAAGTAGAAAGATAGTTCGTGATGAATTGCAAAGGAAATTATTTATGTTACATAAAGAAAAGTTTTCAAATCTACCAGTACCATTATGTTATCGCCCAGCAGATACTCGACGACAGAATATTGATGTTGAAATTCCTGGTGGAGATACTGAAAGTATCCGAGTACAAAATCTAGTATTGAATGATATTATTTTGATAGATATCAATTCTGTTGAGAGCGCATTGAATATGGATAAATCACCGTACACGTTAGGATACACTATAACGATTCATTCGTCACAGGGATTAACTATCTCTGATACAAATATCTGGATTGTAGATGATCTAATCGAATGGTCAAACTTAGTCTATCTCGCAGTATCTCGCGTCAGAAGAATAACTCAACTACATAGAATTGTTATAGATTATTTGATAACTGAGGAGGTTACTGATGACGCTGATGTAATAAAGAAACAATTAGCGTCTTATAAACAATGTGACAAAAACATAAACGTGACTTTAATATTGATACTGACTTTATTATAAAACTAAAACAATTACAGAATAATCACTGTGCAAGTTGTAACAAAATACTGTTATGGCAATATTCGAATAATAATCCAAGACAATTTACCGTAGATAGAATAAATAGTGATCTAGGTCATACACGTGAAAATGTGATGTTGACCTGTCTTGAATGTAATCGACGTCGGGGCGCTGGACGCCTGGTGCTAGTTTACATAAGTGAACGCGGTGGTAATTGTGTATCCGCAGGAATTATTTGCAATTGTTCACTCACAAATCCACGTTGAGGTGCAGTAGAATCTAGTCTGTATATGGCAGGTCTTCCAGTAGATCTAACCACGCTAGAAATTGTATGTGTAGTCACACTCCAAATAGGGTCAGTAGCTCGTCTTTTGCCATCCTCCAACTTCCCTGGTTCGTATAAATATCTCACAATCACATTACCTAATACTGGTTGTTGACCTCGTTGTCCGTATTCATAGCTACGTGGTATATATTTTTTGTTATTGCATTAAAAGGTTTCAAGGTAGTTGCACGAGTAATTTCATTATTTAATGCAGATATCACACATGGTAACCTTATAACCCATTCACGAGATCGCTCACCGGATTTAAAGTCAGCAGATATTTCCTTCGCATATTGATATCCAAATAACCGCTCAGAGAGTGTTCGATTAAATCGTTCAACAATTGCTTGATCACGATGAATTTCAGTATGCCCTTGTCTGATTTGGATGTTATGCTTTTTCATCAAATATAATACTGCACCAAGAAATTCTTTACCAGGATCAACTTGTAATAGTTTTGGCCATTGTAGACCACCACGTTGATAAATTCGCTCAAACGCAGATGCAACTTCAAATGCTGTTTTTGTTGATAATGGTTCAGCTTCTTTATATCTACTTGCAACGTCAACAACAGTCAATGCGTATTTGTACGTTCGTGACTTTCGTCCACGTGTTTTAATAGTATTATTTGGTAAAAACAAAATATCTGCTTGATGAACTTCGTTAGGAACACTGACATCAAAATGTGCATATTGAATTTTTTTTGGTGGTGGTAGATAAATTTGCCATATTGCCTGTCGTGCTAACCACGCTGCAGCAACAGAATGTGAAACTTTTGCTGCTTTAGCAAGTTAAGTGATCGCTGCTTTACCTTTTCAATACCCTCTAGGACTATAATAAATGGATTCCATTATAATAATTTTATAATTAATTACCAGCCCCTAACATTATTTTACTTTTCATAGCGGATTTTATTAGGAAACTAGCGAGTTTCTCTCTAAAAGATTTATTGGGTTTAGAATTTAATGCATGAATCAATTTTACATCTGCAAGATGCTGTTGTTGCAAATCAGGATTGTTATAAGCAACATCATGAATATGACATGCTTGATCAATTTTATTTACTGGATACTCTCCTGGTCTTGGTTGATCTTGATTATCGAGTCGGATATCAAGTCGAGTTCCAGGACCACAATAATTATATCCAGGGAGGTGTTTCTCACCAACATATTTAGCCCATGGTAATCAGGGTAATTTTCCTAATGATGCGGCTATATCCCCACCTATCTTTGTTGTCCCGGAGATAAATTTATATTTTTTGTACCACATTTTACACATTTACCCGTAAATGCTTGTTGTTTATTTTTTGTTATTATTGTTGTCAATCCAACGGTGGGTGTAGATGATCTACATCGAACACAATATAGACTCATGTTATTAATAATATGGATACAATAATTGATTTTTCGGCGACACGAAAACAATAACCAGTAAAGCACCAACCAGCATTACCAAATTCGATAAGAATGATTATAATAGGTCCATCTGGATCAGGTAAAACACAATTATTATGAAATTTAATTATGAGATGGATGAGATGGAACAAACTATATTTAATAGCACCGTCTGTTGATGATCAGCATTGCTACGAAGTACTTAAAGATTTTAATGAAAAAGCAAAATCAGTTAATAAAGACGGTGAATATATTATTGACTTTATCACAGATATAGATGAAGCCCCATCTGTAGATGACTTGGATGGATTCATTAATAATCTCGTAGGATATGATGATGTGATGTTGGACAAACAATCTAATCCAGCTAGAATATTTTCACGAGGTAGACACAAAAACACAGACGTGATTTATGTTACTCAAAGATATACACAAATACCTAGAGTGATCAGAGAAATTGTAATAATTTGGTTGTGTTTAATGGAGTAGATAATTATACCTTGCGAAATATTTACTATACCTGGTGTTCAGGGGATATGGACATAATTAAATTTAAAAATTTCTTTTCTAAAGCACAATCTGTTCCGTTCGGATTTATAACAATAAATCTACATGACCTAAGATCCAGATATCGTATAGGTCTAGATAAAATATTTGGTTAATCCCTGATAAATCAGGAGCAGCAGGGAGGGTGAATCTCTACATGACATTGCTCGACTTTTAACGTAAAAAGTAGTTCGATAAAGTCAGGATAAAAAAGTCAATAATAGTATAACAAAACTGAGCTAACCTCATGCTAATTATTATGCGGTTTTTAACCGTCTGTACGGTAATATAAAAGTTAGATATTTTGGTATAGGGTTATTGACCTTTTTTCAGCATCTATAGGAACCCTTATTTCAGGTTAATTTCACGAGCAAAATATTGTAGGATTCACCCTCCCTGCTGCTATAGTGATATCTAGGATTGAGGTATCATGCCTCAGACATGTAGCATTATGTCCAACCTAGACGAACTATCCTTGCACCAGGCAAATGTTAGTACCATATTTGTAAGTCTTTGGTATCACTTGACCTGGGATCGAACCCACGACCTCCCGCTTCAGAAGCGGACGTTTAAACCACTAGGCCAACGGAGCGGTTTAACCGAATTTGTAAAGGACCCAAAAACGTACGTAACAAGTTGAAATTTGTACAGAGAGGAGACGATGGGGCGTATATGTGTATATGCTTCATTGCTATTATTACTAACGAATTCCAAATCAGAGATAGCCGAGCCTACTATTTGACAAAATAAAAATTTATAAAATAAAATTATTTTTCTTAAGAAAATTATACTATCGTGTATATTAATTATCAGAGAGATTTTCACTATAGTCTGGTGGAAAATATATGAAAATATATTCTTTCGAAGGCATGAAAATGGATATAGACATTCTTTTCATATGTAAAACTTTTTATCGTTTCAGTCGCTATTGTGAAGTTAGGATAAAAATTGGATATCTTACTGAGACATTCTGGTTGCGTAAGTGCTGATATTATCAGTGGAAGAATTAAAACGATAACATTTTACAATTTAATGAATTCAGATATTAAAATATTTACTGCAACAATCGAAAGGTATTGAAGGAATAAATAAATAGATAGATAGACAGACAGACAGACATACAAACAGACAGACATACAGACAGATAATTAGATAGATAGATACATACATACACAGGTATAAAATTCGAAGAAGAAAAAAAAGAGAAGAAGAAGAAACATGTAATTATTGAATGATGGTTTAAAATAATTTCCAGTCCAGACACTTTTAAATTTGGTAAAATGAAACATGTTTTATTTTTATAATAACCTTATCTTTTTTTACAGGCTGCAGTACTAATGTATCGCGTTTTTTGTAAGCAAATTCAATGCAACATTCATTTAGCCAGCTCTGTTTCAAGTGTTTGAAATTATGATTATTATTTTCCTTGAAAGCTTATTCCTGTCGCAAATACTCTAAACGTCCTTGGTCTGCTTTATTTTGGGATGCAGATATTATTTTTAGCGTTCCATTCGCAGTTTGAATCAGCTGGGCAGGTTGTCGCGTCGATATGATCAAAAGACGTCAAACAGATCGCGCTAGGAGCTGGTGTACCTGTTAAACAGACAACTCTGTTGTAGAAATCGTGAACAGATTCAACACCCACCAGTCTTTTTGCTAGTGATGGACGAAGGAGTATAAATATAATCACTGTAAATACAAAAAGAAAACAATATTAAATTTTGTTATACCATCTACATGCCTTATACCATCTACATGCGTATTAGTACATGTCAATGGTGGAAAGAGAGAGCTATACGAAAGGTGGATTTGGTCAAATTTTTAATTATTTGGCAATTATATGCTAAGATGTGACGCAATTACCCTGATACATCGGAATGAAAATTTAGTTATACATGACACGAAAGGTGTCTAATATCAAAATGAGTACTGAACCTTTAAGTTCATTTCAGACATCATTGTCAGAGAACTGAGATGTAATTTTTTTTGTTTAATGCCTAAGATTTCTCACTTCGCGTTTGTTTGCACCAATGTGAGATATTGGCACTCCCTTCTGTGAACTCGAAGTACAAGTGTGCTTTTGCACTTATCTGATGTGTAAGGTCTCGTGACCAGTAGAATACGTGGTCATCAGATCATCCCTAATATCTCGTGACCAGTAGAATACGTGGTCATCAGATCATCCCTAATATCTCGTGACCAGTAGAATACGTAGTCATCAGATCATCCCTTATATCTCGTGACCAGTAGAATTCGTGGTCATCAGATCATCCCTAATATCTCGTGACCAGTAGAATACGTGGTCATCAGATCATCTTTAATATCTCGTGACCAGTAGAATACGTGGTCATCAGATCATCCCTAATATCTCGTGACCAGTAGAATTCGTGGTCATCAGATCATCCCTAATATATCGTGACCAGTAGAATACGTGGTCATCAGATCATCCCTAATATCTCGTGACCTGTAGAATACGTGCTCATCAGATCATCCCTAATATCTCGTGACCAGTAGAATACGTGGTCATCAGATCATCCCTAATATCTCGTGACCAGTAGAATACGTGGTTATTAGATCATCCCTAATATCTCGTGACCAGTAGAATACGTGCTCATCAGATCATCCCTAATATCTTGTGACCAGTAGAATACGTGGTCATCAGATCATCCCTAATATCTCGTGACCTGTAGAATACGTGCTCATCAGATCATCCCTAATATCTCGTGACCAGTAGAATACGTGGTTATCAGATCATCCCTAAGATCTCGTGACCAGTAGAATACGTGCTCATCAGATCAGCCCTAAGATCTCGTGACCAGTAGAATACGTGGTCATCAAATCATCCCTAAGATCTCGTGACCAGTAGAATACATGGTCATCAGATCATCCCTAATATCTCGTGACCAGTAGAATACGTGGTCATCAGATCATCCCTAAGATCTCGTGACCAGTAGAATACATGGTCATCAGATCATCCCTAATATCTCGTGACCAGTAGAATACGTGGTTATCAGATCATCCCTAAGATCTCGTGACCAGTAGAATACGTGGTCATCAGATCATCCCTAAGATCTCGTGACCAGTAGAATGCGTGGTTATCAGATCATGCCTAAGATCTCGTGACCAGTAGAATACGTGGTCATCAGATCATCCCTAAAATCTCGTGACCAGTAGAATACGTGGTCATCAGATCATCCCTAATATCTCGTGACCAGTAGAATACGTGGTTATCAGATCATGCCTAAGATCTCGTGACCAGTAGAATACGTGGTCATCAGATCATCCCTAATATCTCGTGACCAGTAGACTACGTGGTTATCAGATCATCCCTAAGATCTAGTGACCAGTAGAATACGTGGTTATCAGATCATCCCTAAGATCTCGTGACCAGTAGAATACGTGGTCATCAGATCATCCCTAATAGATTTTATAGTTTGCATTAGGCAAAGCTCTGTAGTCTACGTACCGAGGCAATATTTAACTTTCGAGTGATTCTATAACGACAAACACCAAGTGCAAAACAAGCCTAATAGATGGATGCCTTCGATCATTATTACGATTAAGGGTAACGAAATCATTGCCAAAATAGATTTGTATTCCCTTAATAAAATAGTACTGTGGTCATATGAGAGCATCTAAAAGAACAAATAACACAAAAATATATGTAAGAATTCTGAACTTGGCTGCTAATGTAATATCTGCAATTACTTCCCACGTATTGCAACATCCCTTTGGACACGGACAAAGCAGTTAATGCTATTTTGCCAACCTTGCAGTTGATTACATCCGAATGAGATTAAAGAGCGTTTTAATACTGCACATACAAGATTCAGAATTAGACCCAGAAATAGGTTAAAAATCATGAGTAAAAAAACAAAGAAAATCTGAGTGACTATAGTTAACTAGCCAAATATAGTTTTTTGTTATTGAATCAAATCTGGTCTTTCCAGCACAATCGACTCTGTATTTATTTGATGAACAACAAAGCGAAAGAAGTTAACATGTGTTTTACTTTTTATCTCTGATAACCATTCGTCTGGTTTCCTTTGCGACGTACACATGATAAACAATTTTTAAGACAGTTCAATTATCTAGCCCTTAAAAGGACAAGACAAGTGACAACAATGATGCTCGCACAATTTAGTCATTTGATTCCATTTCGTAGTCACCATGTACTTCTAAAGACAATTTTTCCAGATCATGAAGGTTACTAAGATCTAGGTACGTAGTAAATGACCATGACTTTAACCTTTCCTAATATTTCCTAATTGGTTCAGCTCTTGTTTTGACTGTATCAAGAAATGAAGTTATCTGCAAGCTTCTTCCTCTTTATTTCTCTTCATGTTTCCTTAAACCAATCAACTATTGCTTGTCTTCCATTGACTCTTGTATCTAAGAAACTTAAAATGTATAATTAAAAGAAATTGCCCACATGGTTTCAATTTCTCATGACTCATATTTACCTGCCTGACAAAACAAATTAAATTCAAGCTAATGACGTCTGCAACTGGTCTTAGTACTGCTCGCTGCCTATCTAACCTATGCAGTAGAAATTTGTCCAGTCTCATGATAAATCACCTTATCCTAATGATGTATACAGCTGTCTCAATCTTTTGAATTCCGAATAAATTTCAATGAATGTCCTTGTTCAAGAATTTTGTAGGAGCACTTATATTTCCAGGGAAAAGAATCACATGCATTCCACAAAATACAATTTTAAATCAAAATGGTCACAAGAAAAGTCCTTTAAGCGTCATTAGTTTAGAGCCCAATCTGAACTATCTTCGATCAAGACAACAATTATACGCTAATTTAGACGAAAAACATATTCCCGTATGAGGGTCACGTGATCATCCTTCCAGAACAACATAGAAGCCTATTACATGCCTAACATCACTTACTCCGAGTATTGCCTTCACTGAAATCAATGGTTCTTACTCTGGTAATGAATATATAGAAGAAAATGTTTTAAAAAGGAGTTTACCAAAACTCTAACTCATTCAGAAACAAGGGCAATAATTAGATAGTGATTCTATTACTGGTTGTTTATCAGTAAAATAAAAAAGGTCAAACAGAACTGAACTGAATTTCTAACGAAATGTCATTTCAAGGAGACAAAGTTCTCACTACAACAAGTAATAGAATTTAAAAAAACGGAGAAATAAATAAATTACATATACTTAACACAAAAAATAACTTAATAAATATATAACTATAATTAGTTTAGTCTAACGTAAATACATTCTTCAATCGGAAGCTATTTCAAAGATCTCAAATATAACACTTATGTTTTTAATTTTTTTATTTCATTAAATTATATTATATTATATTTGATTATATTCATTATGTTCTATTGATGATGTTGCATTGTTTATTGTCATTGACCTTGTCCAAAATGTAGTACATTTTCTTCAGATTTTTTTATAATTCTGTAAACAATTAATAGTTAAAACATTCTCTATTTGTATGGGATAATTATTACGATTATTACGTTTGCCAAGGATATTGTGTTTACTATGTTCTTTGTTATAATTTCTAGGACCCATTAGGATCCTTCTTGAAGGTTATTTTCCATTAGGTAATATTTTTTAATTA